GGCCCGGCCGCCGCCCGCAGTCCCAGCAAGAGGGGAAAGATTGGTGTTAGCCAGCCTAACGCCTAAGAAGCCGCCGCCGCCGCCTCCTGCCCCCGGGTTATTGTTGTTACTGTTCCGGGTCTTGGTAGGGGCGGCAGCGCCGCGGGCCCCTCCGGTCCTTTCTTCCTCTCGAAGCTTCTTCAGTTTTTTCAGGTAGACCGGCCGGGTACTTTCCGTTACCGGCCCTGGGGAGAAGCCGAGTCGCCGTAGCTCGAAGAAAAGCTCCTCATCACTGAGCTGCGCGGCGGCCGCCGCCATTTTCTTCCCTCAACAGCCGCCGCGGCTGCTTCCTACCCACGCGCCGAGCTCCTGTCCCCGCCCAGGGGCTGCGGTCTTAAAGGTTCTCTATGTACTTAAAATTCCGGTTCCCTGGCTACAAGGGGTGGGGGGGGGGAATCCTCCATGTGCGTGGTAAGTAGGACCAATAGATGACAAAGCAATGCAGACAAAAAACCTTTGGACAATTATCGAGCTCTATAATTTTATACGCATTCACGCATCATAAAAAAGTTAGAAAAAATGACACATTCTTGGGAGAGAAATCACACTTTTCCTTTTAAATATCTCAAAACAAACAGAAATTCAACAAATGGAGTGATGAGAGAAGCTCAATTGCTGAATATTTTTCTCACAACCAGGTAGTCAAGATCCAGGATTGTAACTTACGCCTTATGCCGTTTTTCTCTTATCTTGTAGAATTTTTCGTGTAAAATTTCATTTATAGATTGTAACTTATGCGTTATGCCTTTTTTTCTCCATCTTGTAGAATTTTTCTAACCGTGTAAAATTCCATTTCATATATATATGTTAATGCATTTGTGTTGTAAGTCGCCTAGAGTAGTCGCAATGACCGGATAGGCGGAGTATAAATGGAATAAATAAATAAATAAAAGTAACGAGTTTCCTTTTTTACCCAAGAAACTAGAAACAGCCTTGTGATTTATTGTTATTTTTCAAAGCAAGTTCTGTCTCATGCCTTCCCAGGACAGGAATCACAGAGGCAGGAATTCAGTACTAGTTGCAAGCAACCCTTTGCCATTATGGAGGCAAGAGGGGCAGAAAGCCCGTACCTGTTGACTTTCTGTCTGTTGTGCTTCCCAATTGAAGCTGCCTATTATATCTGTGGAATGAATTCAAGTACTGTAGATTCCCACCCCCACGATGATTTTACCTACTGTAGAGCTGCACCCTGAAAAAAATCTGTTGGATGCCCCCCTTTTCATGCACAAGGCATCCCAGCCGTTCTGGGAATCGTTACCCCCAACTGCACTGTGAGAGGCCTAAAGCAGGGAGCACGGCAGAGGCCCCAAATATGCCCCGGCCGTCCCCCTGCACTCAGGGGTCAACTCGAGCCGTCTTGCTCTCCAAGACCCCTGAGGAGAGGTCTCCCACCTCCTTTCCATGAACGGAAGCGGAGGCCTTGCAGGGGACTCTTAACTTCGAAACCCAGGGAAGGGGCCGCGACCGCCGCTGTACCCAAAGGCAGCGGGACCAGGGGGAGGGAGGATGGCAGGGCCGGACGGGCGCCTACCCAGCTCGGCGCTTCAGGGGAATGCCTTGCGGCCCAAGGGGAAGGCCGTCCCAGCGGGCTGCTCCCGCTCTCTACCCGTTTGCTTGCCACGGCTCCTTCACTCTGCCTCTACCACCCTAGTGCTCACTCGAGGTCAGAGGAGGGAGGGAGCCTGGCTGGCTGGCTGGCTGGCTGGCTGGCTGGCTTTCTATCTATCTATCTATCTATCTATCTATCTATCTATCTATCTATCTATCTATCTATCCCTTTATTTATTTATTTATTTATTTCCCGCCTATCTGGTCAATTGCGACCACTCTAGGCGGCTTACACCATAAAATTCATGAATATTCCTCCTGCCGCTTTGCGACACGCCGGCTTTTCAAGGCTCTTCTGCGACTCGCCCGCCTCTTTCCACCATCTCACGCGAGGTTCAGTTTATCAACCCCAACTGAAACCTTAGGATTTTATCCCTGCTGCGGCCAATGAAGAAGAAGAGGCCTATCTCGCAGAGAAAATAACTTTGTGGCGGGTACAAGCCTTGTTCACTTCAACTCTACAGCGAAAAAGGGAAAGGGTTCAAAACTTCACCAGTTGTTGCAGCGGCGGCTGCTGTTTCAAAGTACAGTACATTGGTCTCCTATCTACATTTCTCCCTCCAGGTGGAAAAACGTTCTAACAGCAACCGAAAATGACAGCTGAGAGAAGTTTCCCGAGTGTTTCCCTGTCTCTTTGATCTCCGCCAGCCGGAACTGACGCGTGCGCACTAGACTGTGGCCTAGACCCGCCCGTCACCGTGAAAGCGGCGCGCGGCGCCGCGGCGCCCGCCAAAAGGGGAGGGGTGGGTCGGCTGAGATCAAGATCGCGCCTTTCCAAGGGCCAGACTATTTAAGAAAATTATAAAATCCGCGTTTTTAGCTTGTTTGCTTTTTAAGAACTGTAGGTCCTTGGGATTCTTCTTAATTTTGGACCTTCTTTATTTGGGTGGACAACCTTTGCTTCAGGCACTGTAGTGCAGGAAGGGAGAGCAGGACAAACCTTAAACGCTCGATGAGGCGGACGAGTGCAAGTCCAAAACGAAGAGATACAGTGGGGTCGGGAGCATTCCTCAAGCTACCCTCAATAGCTTACATTTACTAGCCTCCTTGCCAGAGATGGGATGGGTCAGGACCTCACACGTGTTTCCCTCCTCCTGTGCTGGTGTTGGAAAAATTAACAATTCAAACTCCTTGATAGGCCAATTTCAATACTATATTGTTGACAAGAAGCTACCATTAGGACAGAGTATGGAGAGCCAGAATGGTTTCTCCTATAGGCAAAGGTGTCAGACAAGGATGCATTTTATCCCCTTATCTGTTCAATCTCTATGCAGAACATATACGGAAAGTTGGGCTGGATTCAGATGAAGGAAGAGTGAAAATTGGTGGAAGAAATCTCAGTAATGTGAGATATGCAGGGGACACCATCTTACTGGCAAAAAGCAATGACTTGAAATTACTGTTAGGGAAAGTGAAAGAAGGAAGTGCCAAAGCAGAACTCCAACTGCATGTTAAGAAGACAAAAATCATAACTACAGAAGAACTACACAACTTTAACATTGACAATGAAGATATTGAAACAGATTTGTGTGTGTATACATATATATACAAATATATACATACACACACACACCCATATATGGATACCCATTCTTGTCCTGGTTCTCCATGGCTTCCCTGCACCAACTTGGGTTGCATAATACAAGTTACCAATCAGAACAATCAAGTGCTGAGGCACACCCATTTCTTTCAGAGCAACCCATAGCTTCTCGTGATCTACACTTTCAAAGGCTTTGCTGTAGTCTATAAAGCATAGACTGATTTTCTGAAATTATTTGATTCTCTCCAGTAGCCCGAAAATATTTGCAGTGTGATTTTGAGTTCCTCTTTCTTTTTAAAAATCCATCTTGATCATTAGGCATTTCTTGCTCCATATAAGGTAAAAGCCTTTGTTACAACACCTTAAGCATAACTTTGCTTGGATGAGAAATTAAAGCAATGATCCTATAATTATTGCAGTCCTTGGCATCTCCTTTATTAGGAACTGGAATGTATATTGACTGTTTCCAGTCCGCGGACCATTGTTTCGTTTTTCATATTTGTTGACATATGGATTTGTCAACAAATTGTTAGGATTTGGTGGATGCATTCTTTGTTGCTTGAAACAATTCTATCGGTATTTCATCTACCCCTGGTGATCTATTTCTTCCTAATGATTTCAGAGCAGCTTTTAATTTACTTTCTAGAACTGCAGGTTCTTCATCATAGGCTTCCTTTTCAAAGGAGTCTGTCATCCTTTTGTCCCTTCAGTATACTGTTCACACCTTCTCTTTATTTTCTCCTGGCCACATAGTGTGCTAGAGACATGAAAAACTATATCATGTGCCCACCTGCAGATCTGAATTACCTTTATGACTTCAACTTAAAAAAAAGTTCATACTCTAGCCTCCCTGGGGTGCTATGGAGAACTCTAGGTCCCAGCAATTTTGCACTTCAGTTGGAAAAAAACTGTTTTGTTACAGGCACTGAAGACATTGTGAAAGCATGTTATCAAGCTATTTTTATGTTTAAAGTGCATACTGTATTTTCACAAATCCATCAGTGCAGTTCCACTTACACATTATTTTCAAGCAATATTGCAGAGAAAATACTGTAAACACACATTTCTTATTAACTTTATAAAACTATAAAGGAGAACAATCGAACACTGTATTCTCTTTACTAAAAATAATGTTTTACTATATAATGTCTGTATTCCAGATCATACCTATGCAATCTGATTTGGGCTTGGATACCAGTTCTTAATGATATAACTTTGTATTTGATTGTACTGTATACTCATATATATTTTGGATTGTTTTTGGTTTATACAACCCAAGGAAATAGACTAGATGTTTTGTAATATTAAATGGAGGGACTACAGTATATGCATTTTATCCTATTTGTGCTTGGCTGATTTGAGGCAGTTAAGACAAGCTTTCTTGAGTAGATGAAAAGAGTTGTGAATGCCCCTTTAGAGGAGAGTATAGTTCCACCTGCCTTTAAGATGGGTGGAGTTACGGCTTTCAGTAATGAAAATACAGAATAAAGAAGCCTGCTGTTAGATCCCACCATATTAAATCATTCTCAGACACACCTTTTTTAAGCAAGGGACATGGACTGACATCATAGCTTCAGGGATTCCTGGAAGAAAAACAGTTATCTAGATTCCATTAAAATATTTCAATTCCAGAAGGCTTTTGCCTGCTTTGTTTTAGGGTTGTTTAATTTATGCTCTCTGCCTCTGTATTTTTTATTGCCTTTGTATTTTTAGGGTATTTTTATTGCATGCATGATTTTCTCTTGAATTGTGGTTTTATATTTTTGTGAGCTACTCTGGATAGTGGTGGTCTCTTGAAGGGTATACATTTCTAAATAAATAAATCAGTTACAGGCCCTCTTGTGTTTTTACCTCCAAGCACCTGTCTCTCAAAACTATACACCTAAATCTTTGCTATTCTCTTCTGCAGTTGATTTGCAATTCAGTGAAAACCAATAGATCTGGTAAGCTAAAGGGAGTGCTTTGTTAATTAGACCAAAGGAAGAGCTTTGCTCCTTGTACTGTCTTTATAGACAGCTTTAATGCTTATATATTAGGACATGTCTAGACTTTTGTACCACTTTAAAAGGTCTTAAATCAGTGAAAGAACATGGTGCAATTTAATACAGCATAATGTTTGGCACTGTAACTCTTGTCAAAGCTTTAAAGCTTTGTTTAATATCAGTGCATATTCCAG